AGTTTGTCCAGAGCTGCCACGTATGATTTGGCAAATGAGACGTTGGGTACTGCCGTGATAAAAATGAATTGACCTATTTCATCTCTATTTTAGTTTACCCTGTTTACATAGTTACATAGTAACATAGCTGAAAAGAGACTTGCGTCCATCAAGTTCAGCTTTCCTCACATTTGTTTTTTGCTGTTGATCCAAAAGAAGGCAAAAAAACCCAGTTTGAAGCACAATTTTGCAACAAGCTAGGAAATAAATTCCTTCTTGACCCCAGAATAGCAGTCAGATTTATCCTTCGATCAAGCAGTTATTACCCTACATTGAAAGATTATATCTTTGAATATTCTGTTTTTGCAAGTATGCATCTAGTAGCTGTTTGAATATCTGTATGGACTCTGATAAAACCACTTCTTCAGGCAGAGAATTCCACATCCTGATTGTTCTTACAGTAAAATAAAACCTTTCCTTTGCCTTAGACGAAATCTTCATTCTTCCAGTCTAAATGCATGACCTTGTGTCCTATGTGAAGTCTGGTTTGTGAATAGATTTCCACACAATGGTTTGTATTGGCCCCGAATATATTTGTATAATGTTATCATATATCCCCTCTCAGGCGACGTTTTTCTAAACTAAATAGGTTTACATTTGTTAACCTTTCTTCATAGCTAATATTTTCCATTCCTTTTATTAATTTTGTAGCCCGCCTCTGCACTTTTTCTAGTGCCATAATATCCTTCTTTAGAACAGGTGCCCAATATTGCACAGCATATTCAATATGTGGTCTTACCAGTGATTTATTAAGAGGCAAAATGATATTCTGGTCCCGAGAATTAATGCCCTTTTTCATGCATGACAATACCTTACTGGCCTTGGCCACTGCTGATTGACATTGCACATTGTTGCATAGTTTGTTGTCTATAACAATTCCCAAGTCCTTTTCGTATGTTGTTATCCCTAATTCGCTGCCATTAAGGGTATACGTTGCTTGTGTATTGTTTACGCCGAAGTGCATAACTTTCCTTTTTTCAACATTAAATTTCATCTGCCATTTGAGTGCCCAGTCCCTCAGTCTATCTAAATTCCTCCGCAGCAAAGTAATATCTTGCTCACATTGTATTATTTTACAGAGTTTTGTGTCATCTGCAAACGCTGAAACATGACTTTCAATGCTGTCTTCAAGATCATTTATAAACATGTTAAATAGAAGGGGTCCCAGAACAGACCCCTGAGGGACACCACTTGCCACCCCTGTCCAGCTTGAAAATTTACCATTAATGACAACTCTTTGTACTCTGTTTTTAAGCCAATGTTCTACCCAAGAACAAGCATTTTCATCTAGACCGATTTCCTTGAGTTTGAAGACTAATCTATTGTGTGGAACTGTATCAAATGCCTTGGCAAAATCCAAATAGATCACATCCACTGCAACACCCTGATCTATACTTCTACTTACTTCTTCGTAGAACGCAATCAAGTTAGTTTGACATGACCTGTGCTTCATAAAACCGTGCTGATTTTTGCTGATTACCATGTTCTTCTCAAGGAATTCTTGAATATTATCCCTTAATAACCTTTCAAATATTTTCCCAGCCACAGAAGTTAAGCTCACAGGTCTATAATTTCCAGGCAAGGATTTCGAACCCTTTTTGAATATAGGAACCACATCTGCCTTCCTCCGATCCTCCGGAACACTTCCTGAAAGAAAAGAATCTTAAAAGGATTAACCAAATCCTCTGATATTGTAACATTTTGAGGCCGTGATCATTAAGGAGTGAATTTTCCTGTTTAGTACTTGACAAGAACTGGACGATAGATGGGTCGATGGTGACAAGCCATTGCATATGAATGGGACAGTCCTCGAAGTCTTTTAAGTAAGAGGTGGGTTGTGAACAAAAAACAGACTTAAGTCATCGATATATAAAAAGTAAAGTTTGCCTAGTGCTCTCAATAGGTTGAATATACCCAGAATAAAGACAATACGTAGGATACTCTCCTTACTGTCTAGTGGGAGTACAGCAGAATGATATCTATAATGAGAATAAATGAAAAATGTCATAGTATAATATATAAGGCAAATTTTGTCATAATCAAATCCACTCACTTTGTCCAGAGCCGTTCAAAAGCTCTGTAAGAATTGCACACGGGTGCCCCTTCACAGGCTAAAAGATGGAATTTAGTAGGATTTGCAAAAAAAAAAAAAGTATCTTTATTATACATTTAATAAAATAGGCAAAAAAGAGAGCTGCGTTATTAAGAGTATAATAAATATACTTTTTTGTAATACTGGTTCCTGCTAAATTCCATATTTTAACTTTTGAAGGGGGCACCCTTGTGTAATTCTTTCAGAGCCTGTGTACAGCTCTGAACAACGTGAGTGGATCTGATTACTAAATTTGCTTTTTATACTATACTATGAGATTTTTATTTTTTCCCCATTATAGATATAATTCTGCTGTACTTCCAATATGCAGTAAGAGGAGTATTCTATATATTGTCTTTATTGAGAGATAACTAACCTCCATTTTTTTTAAATATGCATAGGGATTTGGGAAGAGCGCAGGTAACTTTTTTCTTTGGTTTTTACTGTATGTATTGGGGCTGAGGTGTACTATGGTCATTGTTGCCGCCCAGGAGTGATGGGAGTTTGAGCGCAGGACTTGTTTTTTTTTGTATTTGTATTCACTTTTGTATCACACAGCTACGTTATAATGCTGCTGCCCATCCAATGTGTTCCCTATTAAGGGTTAATAAGCATGTAGGGGGGTGTGATGAAACTACCCTGTTTATTTGGGACTTTGACTTTTTTTGGTTCGGTAGTTGAAACTACCGAACACCGACCACACCCTTGGCTCATTAACTTCAAAGAGAACAGTCGTTTAATTGCTCTCACTGTGTGGCACGAAAGGAAGCAGCGGGATTTGGTCGTCGAGTATTTGGAACTAAAATCAGACACTCGACTTCCCGAACACTGGTCAAAGTTTACGAACGCCTGCTTCCTTTTACCAAACAGCCAGGAGAGCGCTGTTCGGTAGTTTTGTTCCCACGAACTAAAGGAACAATCACTGCTATGAGCCAGGGGGTACTGTTCGTGTATTTGTTCAGTTTCAAAACTTCCCGAAATAGACCAACCGCACAACCTAAACTCATGGTACTATTTCTGGGCAGAAGCCTCGTGTGCGGTCGGTCAAATTAAGACATCCATGGAATTTGAAAACCCCTGAACTGTAATTGGTTGTTGACTTTGTGTTGGAGTCCCCCACAAGGTCCGGATGGGAGTGTCCCTTGCATGGGGACTTGTATAAAAGCCAGTGTGTCACCATTAAACTTCATTCCTGTTGTACCCTTCATCTAGTCCAGGCTGATGTTTCAGTAAATGTCTACTTGCTGGGGAGAAACTACTTGAATGCTGCATTCGTCTGGAATCGTTCAAATCTACACCCGAACTGCGAGCTATAATCACTCAGGCTTCAGCAGTTCGGGAGGAAATAGGCGAACGGGTATCTACCATACCAGCTTTCGTAACCTGGGTATATAAAAAAAAAAAATACTCCTTTCTGACTCATTGGTGATATCTTTGCCAGAAACTCAAAGAAGCAAGAGGAAAGGTTAGTGTAGGATCCACCTGAGAAGTTTGCTTTGACGTGGCAGGTGGGCAAAAGTCTCTCATGGCCATTGGAGAAACTGAATAATCTCTATTTGTTTAAATATGCATAGGGATTTGGGAAGAGCGCAGGTAACTTTTCTTTGGCTATTAACATGTCTGTCTCATCCCATGTTATCTCTTGGTCTTACATCCCAAATTAAATGCCAAAAATACAATTTCCTTAGTTGTAAAATTGTTTTTTTTTTGTTTTTTTTAAATGGATTTCATAAGCATCGTAGAAATAGAAAATCACTGCAATATTTTTCAGGGCAAACATCCAAAATTCAAATCTTATGCAATTTTAAATATCACTGTTCCCAACCCAGAGGCATCCACAGCATATTCCTGATTTTTCTAGGTCATCCAACTTTAACCCTTTATTGGCTGAGGGATTGCTATGAGTTTGCCCTTCAGTGACTGTAATAATTTGCCAAGCTCTCATTATTACAATAAATACTGTATCTGGCCCATGTTATAGAGTCAAGTCTGCCAGAGAGACTTTAGACTGTTCAGTTCGTCCAGAGCTGCCACGTATGATTTGGCATATGTGACGTTGGGCACTGCCTTGATAAAAATGAATTGACCTATTTCATCTCTATTTATTTTAGTTTACCCTGTTTACAACTCCTCTGATATTGTAACAATTTGTGGCCGTGATCATTAAGGAGTTCATTTTCCCGTTTAGTACTTGACAAGAACTGGACAATAGATGGGTCGATGGTGACAAGCCATTCAAAAGCTCTGTAAGAATTGCACAAGGGTGCCCCCTTCACAGGCTAAAAGATAGAATTTAGTAGGAACCCGATTTGCCAAAAAAGGTATCTTTATTATACATTTAATAAAATAGGCAAAAAAAGAGCAGAGTTATTAGGTGTATAATAAATATACATTTTTGGAATACTGGTTCCTGCTCAATTCCCTATTTTAGCTTTTTGAAGGGGCACCCTTGTGTAATTCTTTCAGAGCCTGTGTACAGCTCTGAACAACGTGAGTGGCACTGTGCACACTTTGTGTCCAGTATATTTTTGTGATTTTGCTTAGTGCTGCACGTGTATCTTTATTACAATTTTAGAAACACCAAAAGCACTTTGTTTTCTATAGATCGATATAGCATATATAACGAGATGAGATGTACTTGATAACTGGTGGGCATGTACAATTTGAGGTGCAGTTATGTAAAATGTGGGTAAAAATCAAAAATTTAATTAAAATTCTGTAGTATACAAGAAGCAGATATATTGATATCGGATGAGGTATGAGAAGAGTAATGTGATATGTTCAGTTAATACAGATTATAATTAAAGTCAGGTCGCATTTTAATTCTGAACTGTAAGTTATGAGATCAATGACCAGTTCGTTTCAGTAGTCAATATGAAGATAATGAGTGGGTGAAGAAAAAGCTTAAGTTTTTGTTTTTTTTTCATTAGAAAATGGTTAAATCAGCTATATTTTTAGATGACTGTGACAGGATTTGGAAATTGATTGGACATGAGATGTGACGGAGAGGTCATAGTTGAGAATGTGTCCCACAAGGAAGCAAGAACAGGAGGTACGATGGTTGGTATTCAAAAGATGGTGAAGGCTTTCTGTAGGTTTATAATACAAAAATTGTTGTTTGCAAGACTTAAAATGAAATTTATAGAAGAAGCTCTAGTTAAAGAGAGGCACAGGGTGCTGAAAAGAGCCTCGGTGACCGTTAATCAACTGACTCAGAAGGGTTGGTTCTTGGTGGACAAAAAAAAAATGCTTGGGTGTTGGCACCATTAAACTGGTCACAACCATTTTGTAATAATTAAAGAGCACCTGTCATGCTAGACAGAACTTATGCTTTTCTATGTTTACATTATGCTAGCAGATCTGTTCGCACATGTGTACTTTGCGAGACAAATCGATATATAAAAAATAGTCTTTCTTCCACCTGTCAGGCAATTCTTTGGCGCAGACTTTTTGCCAAAGAATTGTCTGACAATAGACTGCAGAAGAGTGAGTTGTTGAATTCTGAATCTCTGCGCTGAAATGTGTCAGAATCACAAAACTACAAAAACGCGCAGTGGCTGAGCATGTCCGTTTTGGTTTGTGATTCTGATTTATGCCTGTGGTGCCGAAAAAGAGTTGATTATGGGAAATGAGATGAGTAATGGTGAGAGGACAGTCACTAAATATTGATTTTATTCACAGATCGAATAGGAAGTGACCAGTTTAGTGGAAAAGGAACGACAGTAAATATATATATGTATTTATTTACTGATTAATCCACTTACTTGGGAAATGCCTGCTCCTGAAGCTCTCTGCAGGGCAAGTTGGAATAATCGAATACGAGCAGGCATTAGGTGCTAGAGTAGGACCGACCAAGAATGGGGTACTTTGAAGTTTTGGCAGGCTTATGTAATGTATGATTATATACTGTAACTAAACCCCCATTATTTTTGCCTAGGTGAGGCGTTTTTAAATAAAACCATTACATTCTGTGAGACTTGAAATTACTGTTTAGTGAATAAGCGAGTGCCCTGGATCTTGTATGGTGCATGTTCAGGTGAGTGCAGCCACTTGGTTTCACATATACAGTTAATATAATTTGCTGAGCAAAACGGACAGTGCCGGAATCCTTGCATCGTGAAAAATGTTCTGTTTTTGAGAAAAATGACAGATTTTCTCACTTTGCAAAACTCTAATCATCACAAAATAAAGGTACATTTCCAGTCTGTTGATATTGGTTACTAATATTTTCACAGATTTGTTTGTTGTAAATATCCAAAACAAGTAAAAATACAAAGCACCAAAGGTTGTCCATTCTGTTCCAAGTATATCTTTGTTTAGAAAGCCCCTATTGTTGGCCGCATGAACATTTTTTTTAAAACAGGATTTCCTACATTCAAGACTTCAAATTTGAGCATGTGTACTTTCAGAGAATTGTTTGTCAGACATGTTTAGAAATGCCATGCACATCATCACCTTTTACACAATTACACAACTTTATCTAAGTTTCAATCTCGTCTCAGAATGTTATGTCCCTTGAAGTTAAATGTTAGCGAGAATTAAAAAAAAATAAATAAAAAAAAGAATTTAAACACCCAGATGAAATCTTTGGCAAGCCTAAATTTAGAGGGTTTCATAACACTGACGTTTGACCAGATTTAAAATGAAACACTTTATAATTTGTCAGCTTTTAAAGGTAATAAAAATGTAAATTCAGTTAATAATTTTGTGTAATATTCCCAAAAACATTACATAAAAGGATAAAGTCAATGTAAAAAAAATAAATTAAATAAAACCAGAATGTACAACTGCTAAGGAAAAACAATATATTTGTTTTTAATGTTCGAGTGTTAGTGCTTAGTATATTAATCCCCCTATTTTGTTAGAGGGTTACTAATTTGCTTATAAAGCTTACTCTGCCTTTGCTGAATTCATTCATAGAGAAGCATTGGCATGTGTAATTCCTGGGTTCCTCCACTGGGAAAGCATTGTATTGGCTGAGATCATCGATTTTGATTATGTCTGCCAAGGCAGGGGATTGGGGCCAGCACTGGCAGATCTACATGGCGCTGGAAATAAGGTATGTTTTCTACTTTTTTAAGGGGGGCAAGGAGTGGCCGGGTGGCTTTATAGTGTTTTAACACGTTTGTGTTCCTGACCCTGTCTCTTTAAGAGTTATTTTTGAAGGCCAACATGAATAAGAGTTCACAGGCAAATCCTGAACGATCAATTTATTGGGGTGTGGAATCCAAAACAACTTTTGCGCACGTCTAGTATATGCCACAGCTGCTTTCTGAGGTGCTTATTGCTTGTACTGTAATTTGCAGAATTGTAACAAGTTACATCATTGTTGAACACGTGTCATGTGATGGAACAGTAGTATGTCATTATCCTTTATATATTGTATTGTTAACAACATACCACAGATGTCTGGATATGTCTGTGCGTTCAAGGATTTCTTACTGTGCTGGGCAGTTTGTTACCGTTCGAGACACAAAGAGCTTTAAAGGATTACCCCAAGCAACATTACCACTTAAGTGATTTGAAGTGGTCATGTATGTCGTGTATGTGCATGGTTTTGCTATAAAGAGCTGCAAACAAGGCCGGACTTGGACATTTCCGGTTGGGCCGGCATACTATTGGGCCGGTGCACGGCCACACGGTGCAATTACAGGGTAATCGGCAGAAGGGGATGGGCTTCCCTCCTGCTGGTCACAGAATGAAGCATGGTCGAGCAGGCAGATCACGGTAGAGGAACTTCTGTTCCCCTACCCGGTCTGACAGGAAGTGCTCACAGAGAGCACAGAACTGCTTCCTGTCAGACCGTGTACAGCAAGCAGGAGCTCCTCCACAGCGGTCTGCTTGCTCGGCCACACTATAGCAAGGTACATGGAAAGCTGGGGGGGGGGGAGACTAATGAGACACCTTGGAGGGCTAGGAGGGGAGGCTAGTCTGTTGGGACACATGGAAGGCTGGGAGGGGGGTATAGGGACACGTGGAGGGCTGGGAGAGAGGGTCAATAGGACACATGGGGGGCTCATGGGACACAAGGGAGGGCTAATAAGACACAGGGCTGGGAGAGGGCTCGTGGGATACACGGAGTGCTTGGAAGGGGGTATAGGGACACATGGAGGGCTGGGAGGGAGGGCTAATAGGACACATGGAGGGCTGGGGGGCTAATGGGACAAATGGGGGCTACTGAGACACATGGAGGGGCTGAGGGAGGGGGCCAATGAGACACATGGAGGGCTGGGAGGGGCTATAGGGCCCTATGGAGGGGCTGAGGGACTGGGGGGTCTAAAAAGACACATGGAAGGGCTAATAAGACACATGGAGGTTTGGTGGGCGTAATGAGACACATGGAGGGCTGGATGGGGTGGAATGAGACACATGATGGGCTGGGAGGGGGGCTATAGGGACACATGGGTGACTGGGGGTCTAATAAGATACATGGAGGGGCTAATAAGACACATAGAGGGGCTGAGGGAGCTAATGAGACACATAAAGGGCTGGGGGATGGATTGAGACACATGGAGGTCTGGGGGATGGATTGAGACACATGGGGGTCTGGGGGGATGGATAGAGAAGCATGGAAGGGTGGCAGGGGTAATGATACACATGTAAGACTGGAGGGGGTGGAATGAGACACATGGAGGGGCAGGGGAATTAAAAGACAGGGTCTTTTAGAGGGGTCTGGGGAGAAAGAGGGGCTGGGAAAGGGGAACAGGACACAGGAGCTGAGGAAGACGAACAAGAGACACACAGAGATGCTGGGGCCTGGGAAAGAGACGCACAGAAGGGCTAGGGAAGGGGAGAACGAGACACACAGAGGAGATGTGGTTAAAGAGACACACAGGTTCTGTGGCCTGGGAAAGACACTAACAGGCTGGGGAAGGGGACAAAGAGACAAAGGAGTTTGGGGGAGAAAGACACAAGCAAAATGCACCTTCACTTTTGTCTCCTGCTCTCCTTGTAACTCATAGTCGACCGGGGTATAAGCAGTCATCTACCTCAGGAGCTGCTAGAGTTCATTCTTGCGAGATTCGGAGCATTGCTGTGGTTGCTGTGGTAACTGCGGCAACGTTTCGAGCTTGCGAGAGGAGAACCCGGCAGAGCTGCAGGTTAAAGCTCCCCCATGTCTTCTCTCCCCTACCGGCTGCCAGCATTACACTGCTAGCGGGCCTGAGAGGGAGATCTCTGATCTCCCCTCCAGTCCTGCAGAGACAGCAGGGGAGAGGGCAGCACAGTTACCAGTGCTATAATCATAGCACCGGGAAAATATATCGCGGCTCCCTTGTGTGCCCGGCACACAGTGTGGGAACCGCTGTTCTAACCTATCGAATAAAATTTAATTTTCTGTAAGTACACTGCCTTTTTTTTTTATCACTTTGTGTTATATGCACAATTGTACGCTTCCCTTTAGTTTTTATTTGATCTAATTTTAGATTAAAATAACTGCACTGTGAAACAAACAGAGTTGAGAACTTTTCCAATTCAGTTTTTATCTCTGAGATAAACTTGAACTAATGTGCCATTGAATCTAATGCGCACCTTAATTTTTGAAACCTGGAAGCTGAAAAATGTTTTTGCTGGCGAATGTAATGCGCATTTATACAAGGAGATACTACTAAACAAAATTGTGCTACAATGAAAATGTTTATTGCCTTACACTATAGTAATATTGATGCGATTTCAATTTTAGTGTTACATTTTAAGTCTTTTCTTTCTTAAGCCCTCTTTCAGGAACAAAATGTGCTTGTGTGAATTTGCTGGAATGAAATTCTCCTGTGTGAATTCACCTGTTTTAATTTGTGAGTTTCAATTCATGTGTTTTAATTCTCCAGTTTTAAATCACTAGTTTGAATTCAGCCGTTTTAATTCACCGGACAATTTCAAATTTTGCCTCGAATGTAATGAGCCATTGAATCTAATGCTAAAAAAAGTTGTGTATTAGATTCGAGTAAATACGGTAGTAGCTGAGATATTCTGAAACATTAATATCACTGTTATGCTTTGGAATGACCACTTGTAAGGTGGACATGGATACTTTAAGTTCCTTGTTGTGAAAGACTTTATTTGCAGTGCCATCTTTACAGCATTATGGGCCCCGGGCAAAGCAGTGCACTGGGGCCCTACATAAACAACAACTACCAGGAATAAAAATGTAAATTATAGATAAAATTAAGTTTATATTTATTGGTACCTCCAACAAATGCAATAGATACATACATACAATACATACACACAGACTGCTGAATACATGTACACCAACGGCTGAGTACACAGACAGACTGCTAAATACATACACAAACACACACAGAGACTGCTGAATACACACAGACAGACTGCTGAATACATACAGACAGTTGAATACACACAAACACACACACACACACAGACTGCTAAATACACACAGACTGCAGTGAGGGGTGCAGTGTGTGTGTTTGCATGGAGGGGTGCTGTGGTGTGTGTGTGTGTGAGGTGCTGTACGTGAGGGGTGAGTGGTGTGTGTGTGTGTGAGAGGTGCTGTAAGTGAGTGGTGTGTGTGTGTGTGTGTATGTGGGAGAGGTGCTGTACGTGAGGGGTGAGTGATGTGTCTGTGTGTGTGTGAGAGATGCTGTACGTGAGGGGTGTGTGTGTGTTGCAGAATGTGCATTATTAATGAAATTTTCAGAGGACACTGCCCTAGTGGTCATGATCTATATAGCTTGCAGCTCCTCTGGCTGCAGGCTATTTTCACTCCTCCCGAGCTAAGCACTGTGTGTAGTGTTGCCATGGCAACGCGCAGCAATGCTCTACACAACATGCTTGTGGGAGGAGAGATCTCCTCCCAAGTCCCTCCTCCTGTCTCCGGGTCTTCCCGCTGTCTCTCCTCTCTAACGAAGGGCCTTTCGGCCGGTGAGGGAGATCTTTGATCTCCCCACTGGCCCGAGAGGACCCACCAAAAGAAAACGGAGCTGGCTCTCCATAAGGGTTAGGTCAAAGGATGTGGGGCCCCCAGGCAACTGCCTAGCGTGATCATTGGGAAAGACGGCTCTGCTTATTTGTTGTGAGTCTTACATTGATCGATTAGTAACACTAAATATAATAAGTTAAATATTACAGAGAAATATATATATATTTCAACCAGCCTCTTGACGTGTTTTTGGCTGGTATAGGTTTTGGGGGTTACGAATACCCAGAGGCCTACGGTTTGAATACTTCTGCTCTAGTGATGAAAGGGACTCTCCACACCACAATAGCTTGTTATTATTATAATTTCTAAAGCACTAAGAAAAGGGATATTGAGAGAGGAAGAAGGCCCTGGTCAAACAAGATTGCAATCTGTGAGGGTTCGAAGATATATATCGTTAAATATCTTGCCCAAGGACACTTACTGGTGAGGTCGTCTGAATTCTATGATTGCTGCCTGTCTTCTGTGTTTTGCCATAACTTCATCCTCACTCATAAACCGTTCATTTGATCAAAGTGCTTGTATGACTCCCAAGCACATGTGAGTGAAGCTTACAGTTCCAACAGCAACTTCAGTATTCCGTAAATTCAGTAAAGGTACAGTGATGTTGCAACAGCTCTTCATAAGCTGATAGCAGGAGCTCTGGGAATGCTATCAGCTTAGGCAGCAGTTCCACTCAAATATTTTTTTCAAGAAAAGAATTGCTGAGGAGTGCTGTGTTACATATGATTTAAACCAATGGTCAGCACTGCATGCTGTCATGATAGGCCTGTAGGGCAGGAAACTAGGATGATTTAGATGGTAAACAGGGCTCACCTCAAGTCTCAGGTGGTGGCATCTCACCTATCCACTGAAAATGGAAGACGGAACGGCGTCTGGATCTTTGTAATTGAACGCAATGACAGTGCAGCAGAGAAGCACTGGGTTTATTTCCCATGGCTTTGAAATGCTGTCATATGAAAGAACGGAATTTGAACTTTGGACACGACGGAGGAGGCTGACTGTTATAAATGGGAGGAGAAGAGAGTGAATAAGGAAATGTTAGACTAGCAAGCGAAACAGAGAAAATGTAAGGAGAATAAAGGCTGAGATCTGTGGAAATGTATCTGTCCACAGACACACATATACAGAAAACCGTTTAGAGTATTTATTATAACTTTATTTATTAACCCCTTAAATACACATGACGTGTGACATGTCATGATTCCCTTTTATTCCAGAAGTTTCGTCTTTAAGGGGTTAAAAAAGATATTGAGGCAAAAAAAATTGTTCTAATACATTTACATTTCTAAAAAAAAAATAATCTGTATACAGTCATGGGAAAAAGAAAGTACACCCTCTCTGAATTCTATGGTTTTACAAATTATTATTATCGCCATTTATATAGCGCCAACAGATTCCGTAGCGCTTTACAATATTATGAGAGGGGGGATTGAACTATAAATTGGACAATTACAAGAAAACTTACAGGAACGATAGGTTGAAGAGGACCCTGCTCAAACGAGTTTACAATCTATAGGAGGTGGGGTGTAAAACACATTAGGACAGGAAATATCAAGTGAAGCAGAGCTGGAGGAGAGAGTAGAGTGCTACTCAGAACATAAATCAGAACATAATAACAATCATCTGTTCCTTAGCAGGCCTTAAAATAAAGTAAATACAACCTCAGATGAACAACACATGACATATTACACTGTGTCATGATTTAATTAAAGGGACACTATATTCACCACAACAACTACAGCTTAATGTAGTTGTTCTGGTGCCTATAATCATTGCCTTCAGGCGCAGTGTTTACATTGCCCCTAGCGACACCTCCAAGTGGCTACTCCTCAGATGACCACTGGAGATGCTTCCTGGGTCAGTGCTGCACAGTAAGCAGCTCTGCTGTTCAACCTCTCCACACTCTGCATGGTGAATTTTCATTATAGACTCATTGGTTCAATGCATCTCTATGAAGAAGTGCGGATTGACCAAAACGGCATTTGGCCCCGTCCCCATCCCTCCTCCTTGCCCATTTTAGCCAATCCAATGCTGGCAATTCTGATGATGTCATCAAGGAGGCGGATCACGGGCGGAGCCAGTGCCGTTGGACCCGCATGGCACTGGAAATAAAATTCTTTTAAGGGGGCTTAGTGGGGGCAAGCCACCTAAGTGATGGGTTTAGCACTATAGGGTCAGGAATACATGTTTGTTTTCCTATAGTGTTCCTTTAACAAAAATAAAGCCAAAGTGGAGAAGCCATGTGTGAAAAACTACACCTTCACTGCTTCCATAGAAATTAAGAGGCTAAGTAGCAGACTGGTTCTGCTAATCAAATGCCATTGATTAATTGATCATCAGCAAGTGTGACCACCTCTATAAAAGCTGCATTTTTAGCAATTTGTTAGTCTGGAGCATTCAGGTGTGTGTTAACAGGGCCGCTATCAGGGCATGACAACCATAACGGTTGTCATGGGCCCGGCGGTCCTGGGTGTCAGGGCTTACCTGGGTTGGGAGTCCGGCAGGCAGAGATATATGCTCACCCTTTGCAAGTAAACACAGGCCGAGGTGGTCAGGTAAGAATTCACCTGGCCTGTGAGTCGGTGCACGGGGGCTGTGCAGGATAATTCTCCAAGTCGCAGTACAGGAATGGATAAAGCAGGAGAATCATCGTGGGTAAGCCAGAGGTCAGAGGGTGCCAGAAATCAGGATAAACGAGAAGAAAGCCGAGGTCAGAGGATGCCAGAAGTCAGGATATTTGGAGTAACAAGCCAAGGTCAAGAGTAAACTGGAGAACACAAAACCGCAGTATGATCACCAGAGTCGAGGAACTGACACTGTACACGTTGTATGGTGGCTCAGAGGCAAAATAGCACCCCCAGGACTGCAAAGTACCCACGTTCAAATCCCTTGCTGGGCACTCCTGGGATGACCATGTCTGGCTGGCTGTCTGTCGCGGTGAGAACTGTTACACTGGGGGGCCCGGACTGCTCTGGGAGTCCCAGGCCCCACTTTCCATTTGTGCACATATAGATAGCGATTTTTGCTACAGCGGCTGGCTCCCTCTACCAGACCACCGGACCACCAGGGATGCAATCTCCCCCTCCCTAGTCCTAGCCCCCCATTTTACACATTTACATACACTAAAACCACAACACAAACACACACTGCATTCACCATACACACAATAAAACCACAACACAATAACACACAGCAGTCACCAAACACACACTAACACTGCAACACAAACACACTCTGCATTCACTACACAAACACACACTGTATCTAAAACACACAAAACTACATCCATTATACAAATGTGCAATCTGTATCCATTTTACACACCACAAAGACAGGGCATCCTTGTGGGTGGACTCAGAATGGGCCCGGTGGGCAGAATCGGGGGTGGGTCCGGGGGGGCCCACACTTTGAACTGTGTCAAAATTTCTGATGGCAGCCCTGTGTGTTAACCAGAGCCGCAGAGCTGCGGACTGAATTGTCTCAGGATCTTCAGTGTATCAGAGCGTTGCTGCGGGTTACCACGGCAATGCCCTGACTGGAGATCGCAAGAGACTTACCACGTGGTCTGCAGCTCTGCGCCTAGTGGAGCTGCAGACCAGAGAACCTGCCCACCGGACCATCAGGGACAGAGACACTGGACCACCAGGGAATAATTAAAGGGGGTAAAAAAAAAGGTATTTATAAGCACCCGCAAACCTGGCACCCTCACCCTCTCTCAGCCCCCCACCCTGTTTTAGCCCCCTACCCTCTCTTATCCCCCACTACTCTTTTTCCGCCACCAACCCTCTCTGAGCCCCCACTACCCTTTCTCAGCGCCACCACTACACTCTCAGCTGCCCCACCCTCTCTCAGCCCCCTAACCCCTCTCAACCCCCACTACCCTTTCTCAGCCCCCACCCTCTCTCAGCCCTCATAAACACTGTCACAGCCACTCCCACACACCTTGTTATCCCACACCCCACATTCACCCTGTCATAGCCCCCCACACCCTGTCCTCACACACACCCTCACAGGCACCTCCACTCTGTCACTCCACTGACACCCTGCTACAGCCCCCCACGCAACTTGTCAAAGCCACCCCACCCTGTCACAACCCTTCCCACATACTATCACTGCCACCCACCCTGTCACCCCAGAGCCCCCCCACACACCCTGTCACTCCCCCCACACACGCACCCTGTCACATTAACCACCTCCAATCCTGTCACACTCCCTCCTCCAGCCATGTCACAACCAAAAAAGCAATTGTTCTTGTCAATCAAACTGGGGAGGGTTATAAAGCCATTTCCAAACAATTTAAAGTCCATCATTCTACAGTGAGAAATATTATTAAAAAGTGGAAAATATTCAAGACAGCTGCCAATCTTCCCAGGAGTGGACGTCCCAGCGAATTCAGACTGTGATATGCTAAAGTCCATGAAAGTACAATTAGAAAAAGACTGAACAAGTATGGTTTGTTTGGAAGGGTTGCCAGAAGGAAGCATCTTCCCTCTAAAAAGAACACCGCAGCACGGCTTAGGTTTGCAAAGTTGCATCTGAACAAACCACAAGACCTCTGGAACAAAGTCCTTTGAAAAAATTGGAGATGTTTGGCCATAATGCACAGCGCCAAGTTTGGCAAAAACCAAACACAGCTTATCAGCACAAACACCTCATACCAAGGGTCAAGCACGTTGGTGGAGGGGTGATGATTTGGGCTTGTTTTGCAGCCACAGGACCGGGGAACATTGCAGTTATTGAGTCGACCATGAACTCGTCTGTGTATCAAAATATTATAGAGTAAAATGTGACGTCATGTGTCCAACAGCTCAAGCTTGGTCAAATTGGTCATGCAGCAGGACAATGATCTCAAGCACATCAGCAAATCTACAACAGAATGACTGAAAAAGAAAATAATCAATGTGTTCCAATGGCCCAGTTAAAGTCCAGACCTCAACCCAATTTAAAGGCTGTGGCGGGACCTTAAAAGAGCTGTGCAGTACCGCTACCGAGAGAGCCTAACTGCCCCATTTTCTTCTTTTTCTTTCTCTCTCTTCCTCCTCTTTTTTTCTCTCCTTTACTCTTCTTTCCTTCCACCCATCCATCCCTCCCCTACAAGACAGTCACTGCACACGCTCAAGGAGACAGCTCGCAAACCCCTAACCTACGAGAATCTTCGCAGTGTTCCATGCATGTTCATTTAAATGGGACCTGCGTGTCCTACTCCTGTTATGTTATTTGCAAAAACTGAGACCTGCAGTCTCTCATTCTTGTTTATAAAGAGCTGTGCGTGAACAAATGCCAGCAAACATCAATGAACTAAAGCAATGCTGTAAAGATGAGTGGGACAAAATTCCTCCACAAAGATGTGAGAGACTGATAACGTCATACAAAAAACTACTACTTCACATTATTTCTGCTAAATGTGATTCTACAAACTATTGCATCATAGTTTTTCACACATGGTTTCTCCATTTTGGTGTTATTTATGTTCAATCATGACACGCTGTATTGTGTCGCGTTGTTCATCTGAGGTTGTATTTACCTAATTTTTAGACCTGCTAAGGAACAGATGATTGTTATGTCCTCATATGTAAAATCATAGAATTAAAAGATGGTGAATTTCACTGAAATAAGAACCCATTCAAAATTATAATACAACGTAAAGACTACTTTTGTCTTATGTATATTTCCTACACTTGACAGAAAGCCCTTTGCTGTGACAGTAGAGGGGGGAAAAGGCTTTGTCTTTGGAGGATCCCAAAGTCCAGCTGAAGTGGTAGAGGTTAACACCATAAAGGAGGTTAAGCATGCATGGGATATGCATAAGGCTATCCTAGCTATAAGATAAGACCAGGGACTAATCAAAGTATTTAGAAAAGTGGGCAAACTAGATGGGCCGAATGGTTCTTATTTGCCGTCACATTCTATGTTTCTATATGTTTTAGACAAGTTCACTACAGACAACCTCACTGACACACACTCAAGCTCACTACAGGCAAACTCGCTGACACACAAAAACTCATTACAGACAAGCTCACTGACACACACACAAGCACACTACAGACAAACTCACTGACTCTACAAACAAGCTAAGTAACACACACACACAAGCTCACTGACATACACATGCCCACTATGCACAAGCTCACTGACACACACGCTCACTACAGACAAGCTCACTGACACACATGCTCGCTACAGACAAGCTCACTGACGCACACATGCTCGCTACAGACAAGCTCACTGACGCACACACGCTCACTACAGACAAGCTCACTGACACACACAAGCTCACTACAGACAAGCTCACTGACACACACATGCTCACTACAGACAAGCTTACTGACACACACAAGCTCATTACACACAAGCTCACTGACACACACACATGCTCAATACAGACAAGCTCAATGGCATACACACACAAACTTACTCACTAGCAGGTACATACACACACAAGATCACTGTCAGGATTACTGTTGATCCAGCACGCAGAAATAGTATCACACCTATCACTAAGGATAACGTCTAACCGGACCTTAGAAAAGCCGGACTTAACGTATCCGAGAATAGTCAAAATACTAGCCAAGGTCAGGGACAGAGAATGATACACACTGATTAAGAAAAGTCAAGGATACCAGAAATCAGGGTCAAAACTGAGCCAATGTCAAAAACCAGAAAAACACGATCAGGAATACACTCTCTGATTACCATCAAAGGGAAACCACGACAGGTCACTGATCAAAAAGCAATTTGGGTTTAAATAACCCTCTTGAAGCTGTAATTGGCTGTATATGGCCTCTGATCCTAAAACTTGCGTACACGTCTATGACGTGACGTTGCACGCATGTAAGCGCCATCTTTAATGTGGGCAAAGGCTATATGCTTACCAAGACCGGAACCGCAGCGGCCGGCATCTCCAGGAACGCCACACACGCTGGGGACCGGGATGGAAGGAGGTTGGGTATCACTTTGCCGCGAGCAAGGTAAGTATTTATTATTTCTGTCGGTGTGACCACTGTGTTTATGTGTGGCCACGCCAACAGAATCTCGCGGAACCATGACAATCACTCTGTCATGGACATCTGAGTATTTCAAGCCTACCTGGCAGTGGAGGTCAAGCAGCCATTCTCAGGCCTCTTCCTGCAGCAAGTGGGGCAGAGCTTGTTTATGTGCGGGTGGGGCTTATGCACGGGAGGTGGAGCTTGAGTGTGTGGAAGCGGAGTTTGCATGCCTGGGAGCTTGGGAAAGATGCTGGGAATTGTGAGTGGAGAATCAGCGCTCCTTCCAGCCACCAAGAGCCTTAATGTGGCTGCATCAGCCCCCAGCACCTCCCTCCTGAATTCCCTCAGACTGTAAAAAGCTGTTACAGTCCAAAGGAAAATAAGCTAAAGGGTACATTAGGGCACCCCAGGTGCTGCGGGCCTCCGGGAAATTCTCCGGTATCCTGGTGGGCCAGTCTGGCCCTGCCTGCAATGGTCAGATTCAGGTAAGTAAAAACTACCTTACTCTGCAACTCCAGGCCACCGCACTGGAAGCTGAAATGTCTCACTTCCTCAATTCCCACTCTCTCCTTGACCCTCTTCTGGCTTCCGCCCTCTCCACTCTACTGAGACTACTCTTATCAAAGTTACTAACGACCTAATCGCAGCAAAATCCAAAGACCACTACTCCATACTAATTCTTCTTGACCTCTCTGCTGCCACCGTTGATCATGCTCTCCTTCTTCAAACATTTCAATCACTCTGTCTCTGTGACTCTGTACTTTCGTGGTTTTCCTCTTATCTCTCCCAAAGCTCATTACGTGTGTCCTTTTCTAATGATACCTCCTCCCCTCATCCTGTCTCGGTTGGAGTCCCCCAAGGCTCTGTCCTTGGTCCTCTTCTATTTTCTCTTTTATACTGCCTCTCTTGGCAAACTTATTACCTCTTTTGGATTCCACTACCACCTGTACGCTGATGACACCCAGTTATTAAAGAAAGTGGTATATTAGAGACTCAATAAGAGACTCTAAGCTGATTTTAAATATAATATAAGGAAAGTACTAATAACATTAAATGACTAGAGAACCAGCACTGAAGTCCTTAGAAAGAGAAATAATCCCGAAGTATATAGTATATTGGTTGAATATTCCAAAAGGGCCCCTAAAATGAAACCATTAAAGATACTGTATTATAATTAAAATGATTAAAAAAAAGGGGCAAAAGATGGAATCAAATCAGACCTAAAGAATTAGGAATACTATATATATCACATGTCTACAAGAGGAAAAGTCAAATTCTTCATTAAGGATATAATTGCTAATCCCCAGAGAAGAAAAGATAATGATTAATCAAAAGATAGATAGACAGGGAATAATAGATCGAAAGGTAATAATTACCCTAATACTCCAAAATGAAACACCGTCAGGTATATCCTATACTGTCCCTCGACCTATATTATAATAAGGAAAGGAGGAACCACAGTAGATAGGTGCTAAACAGAACAGCATATGAAAGAGAGTAATAAATAGAAAATTAATAGTTCCTGAAGGCTCCTAAAAATCAACACCTTCAATGGTGTTCTATGCTGTTCCTAATAAGAGACCCTCAGTATGTAAATGCTGAACAATACAGCAAAGGAAAGGAGAGTTGTAGATAAAAAGTAAAATCCCTGAAAGCTCCTAGAAACAAACACCTTCAAGGGTGTTCTATGCTGTCCCTATATATAGAGAACCTCAGTGAATCAATAGTAAACAGAGCCGCATACAGAAAGTAGATAATAAACAAGGAGTAGAATCCCTGCAAACTTGTTAAAGACCAACACCTTCAAGGGTGTTCTATGCTGTCCCTATAAAGGAGCAAGTAGATACACTGTCTCTATCTATCTCCTCTTGGATTCAATGAGTCAGTGCTGGGACAAAACTTGAAATAAATCAAAAATCAAACATTTAGTGCTACCATTGTGAAAAATAAAGAAAAAGGTAAAGGTTAAACCCGACGCGTGTTTCGGTGCGTTTAATGCACCTTCGTCAGGGGCTAAAAATACCTCTGCAAATGAAATGGTTTTTAAATCCTCGATCACCAATAGGAGGGCTCCCCAAATCGTCCGGTAATGTTCTCCCGGTGTGTAGAGGGGCATGATATGGGCAGGGTGTTGGTACGTCCACGCCTCTCTGGACGTGGGCGTAACGCCGTCTACCAACGTCCGACCCCACGTGGGTCTAGAGGGGCGGAGTTAATCAGCTAGGGTAGGAGGAGAGATAGAGGGGAGGAAGAGGGAGGGAATAAATCATAAGATCCTCCCCTACTCCTCTCTACCTATTAGCCGTGGGCAAAAAAATAGGTGGAGAAGTATGCCGTGAGTGACAGCTAATGCTCCTCAAAATATCGTTATGATGTATCTAACGCGATTTAGATGATTTAGCAAAGATTAACTAGAATGGCCTTATGAGGAACGAAGTACAAATATAAAATTGTTGTTGTGTATCAAGTAACACAATATTTATCACTTATTATTAGGCCAAGTTAGAACATGCATAGATGTGTAACTACATCCAATCACAATAAATATACCTATCTATAAGTTTCTGGTCAGCAAAAAAATAGACTAAATGCTGATAGCATATAAAGTGGTAGTCCATTGTATTAATTGAAGACCAGGGTGGAATAAACTATACTCAGGGTGGAATAAATCCCAATATACTGTATAATTAGGTATATCTAAGTTATTTAATTATAACTAAATATATGAAGAAACCAGACTTGGAGGAATAATATGCCTCAGATGGAAATCTATAGTAGTCATATGATTAGATATTAGAGGTATTTCTCAAAAGTTAAGAAAAAAATAATAACAATAAAGGTGAATAGAATAAATGAATGTGTATTTACATTGTGAATTCTATGTCTTTATAAAGTCCCTATATATATACAGATGGTATTCTTAAAATCAGAGATCGCTAATAAATGGGGAATAGGAGAAGCCTTCGTTTAGCCCCCTAGGGGAGAGAGTGTTCAGGCAATAAATCCAAAAACACTCCCTCCTCCTAAGGAGTTTATCCAGGTTCCCCTTCCCTTGATCCAATTTGACCATTTCTACCCCTAAAAATTGGAGTACCGTATGGTCACCTTGATGAAAATTCTTAACATGTCTAGACACTGAAGTTTCAATGTGTCTACTGGTTTTTATGGAGTTAATATGCTCCAAAATCCGTCTTTTAAAAGGTCTGAAGGTCTTGCCTACGTATAATTTACCACATTGGCATTTTATTAAATACACTAGGCCTTTAGAGTTACAATTAAAGAAGGAATTTGGATAGAAAGTATCAAGATGAGTGCTATTATAAAAGCTTTTTGAGTCCTTGCAGATAAAGGCACAAGCCCTACATCGACCGCATTTGTAGGTCCCCAAAAGTTTGTTAGATAGCCAATGAGTATTAGTCGTTTTAGACTGTTTAAAATGGCTATGTACAAGGGCATCCTTGATATTCTTACCCCACCGTGCTGTAAGGGTCACGTTTGGGGGAAGGATTTCTTTCAAATGTTCATCTTGCTGGAGTAGGGGCCAGTATCTGTTCAGAATAGATTTAACCTGATCCCAACCAGCATCATAGGTGGCAATAACTCTTAGAGATTTTGAATCAGGAGTATTGTTACTTGTGGGGACCGGTACCTCCTTTATAAGGTCCTCTCGTTCAGTCAGGAGGGCTCCATGATAGGCCCGCTTTAGACATTTGTGTGGATATCCTTTCGCTCTGAACATTGCACGTAATTCTCTAGCTCTCACTTTAAAATCCTGGACGTCGGAACAGTTACGCCTCAGGCGTAAATACTGTCCCGTTGGTATACCTCTTTTTAAGGGGATTGGATGGTGACTTCCCCAGTTAAGTAAACTGTTGGTGGCTGTGCTTTTCCTAAAGAGGTCAGTTTTAATACCACCCTTTGTATTGGGGGTTAAAGTAAGGTCCAGGAAATTAAGACTAGGTATGCCCATTTCAGATGTAAATCTTAGGTTTAGAGCATTGTCATTAAGTGATTGTACAAAGAAAGTAAAATCTTCTGTAGTACCTCCCCATACAATCATAATATCATCGATATATCTCTTCCAGGAGAGAATATATCAAATAAAATGATTAGAGCTAGGCGTGAACACTATTTTTTCTTCCCACCAGCACAGGTGCAGGTTGGCGTATGAGGGTGCACAAGACATCCCCATCGCCGTACCCTGCACCTGGTGGTAGTATTTACCATCAAACAGGAAGAAATTATGTGTCAGCACAAAGTGCAATAGTTCAATGACGAATTCGCTATGTTGGTGTAGATGTGGGCCACTCTGTAATAGGAAGTACTGTCCATTTTGGAGTCCTATGGAGTGGGGAATCGAACTGTAAAGTGCCTCCACATCCAGACTACAAAGCATTGAGTCTATGGGCATGTTCAGAGTGTTAAGATGTGCCAGTGTTTGCTTTGTATCCCTTAGATAGGAGGGAAGTTTAGTTACCAGGGGTCGTAGAATGTGATCCAAATATATACTAACATTCTGTGTCAGGTTATTATTTCCTGACACAATCGGTCTACCTGTTAGTTCTTGATACTTTTTATGAATTTTGGGTAGACTATAGAATGTTGGTATACGTGGATTGATATTAAACATAAAGTCATATTCTTTTTTAGAGATCAAGTTATGTTCTAGGCCCCTTTGTAAAATTTGTTTCAATTTAATCAAAAAGATTTTAGTTGGATCTGTTTTTAATACTTCATATGTTGTATTATCCATAAGAATCCTCTTAGTAATTGTAACATACTGGGAAGTATCTAAAATAACTATGTTTCCCCCTTTATCAGAGGGTTTAATAGTTATTTCTTCTCTTGCTTGAAGATTTTTTAAGGCTTTTGATTCAAGACTAGACAGATTAGAATTCGATTTAGGCATGGATTTAGTGGGAGACAAAGTGTCAATTTCTTTACAGACCATTTCCAAAAAAGTCTCTATATATTTGGAGTCTCCCAGTCTTGGGCAAAATTCACTTTTACGGCAAAGTTTTGTACAGGGGCAAATTTTTCTTTCGAGAGGGTCACTTTCTTCTAGAAGTTCTGCTAGAAGAAGAGTGCGTTCATAATCCTTAAGTTCGAGGCCCAATGTTTTAGCCTTTTTTTTTCTTTATTTTGAACATGTATTTTATGGAGTAAAAGTTTTCGAGCAAATAGATGAATATCTTTAACCCAGGTGAATTTGTCAAAACGAGGGACTGGAACAAAAGATAAACCCCTTTCCAGTAGATTAAGTTCAACCTGGGTTAAAGTATAGTGTGATAAATTCACCACTTGTTTTCTCTCTAAAATCGATTTCTCCGGTAAGATTGTCTTTTTGGTCTTGGTCTCAAGAAGGGGCGTTCTTCGCCCTGTGTCTTTTCTAAAAAAAACCTCTCTGCTGCCACCGTTGATCATGCTCTCCTTCTTCAAACATTTCAATCACTCTGTCTCTGTGACTCTGTACTTTCAAGGTTTTCCTCTTATCTCTCCCAAAGCTCATTACGTGTGTCCTTTTCTAATGATACCTCCTCCCCTCATCCTGTCTCGGTTGGAGTCCCCCAAGGCTCTGTCCTTGGTCCTCTTCTATTTTCTCTTTTATACTGCCTCTCTTGGGAAACTTATTACCTCTTTTGGATTCCACTACCACCTGTACGCTGATGACACCCAGTTATATCTCTCCTCCCCGGACCTCTCCCCTGCCGTCCTGCAACGTGTCACTGCTTGCCTTTCTTCCATCTTTGGCTGGATGTCCTCTCGCTTTCTGAAACTCAATCTTTAAAAAATGGAGCTCCTTGTCTTTCCTCCTCCTAATACTGATCCTTCTCTTCCGCTCTCCCTTTAAGTTAGTGGTATCCACATAAGTCCATCCCTGCAAGCACGCTGTCTTGGCATTATTCTTGAGTCTGGCCTCACCTTTGAGCCTCACATCCAGTATATTGCCAAATCCTGTAGATTCCCTCTTAAAAACACAGCCTGCATCTGCCCCTTTCTTACTCAAGATGCTAACAAGGAGCTTGTCCTCTCTAGTCGGTCCACTCTTACCTCACCCCTCTGTCAGTCCTTACATTGGCTTCCTGTATCTTATAGGAGTCAAGTCAAAGTGCTAACCCATACCTATAAAGCACTGAACAATTCTAGCCCCTCTCATATCTCTTCACAGATCCATGGGTATGACCTTTCTCAGTCTCTCCGCTCTGCCCGTGACCTTCTTCTGTCCGTTGCTCGCATCTGTACGGCCAACTCACGCTTGCAGGACTTCTCAGTGGCGGCTCCCTTCCTATGGAATAGCCTGTCTACCGCCATCAGACTCTCCCCTAGTCTTCAATCGTTTAAGAAACCATCTCTTTAATAAAGCTTATGGCCTCCCAGAGTAACCTCTACCTTACACAGCTGTCTCATGCTCTCTCCAAAAGGCAGCACTCTACTCTCTCCTCCAGCTCTGCTTCACTCCCACCTTGTTTGATAGCTACCTCCTGTCCTATTGAGTTTTACACCCCACCTCCTATAGACTGTAAGCTCGTTTGATCAGAGTCTTCTTCAACCTATCGTTCTTTTAAGTTTTCTTGTAATTGTCCTATTTATAGTTAAATCCCCCTCTCATAATATTGTAAAGCGCTACAGAATCTGTTAGCGCTACATAAATGGCAATAATAATAACAATATTGATGTCCCTATTCACCCTTTTGTGAACAGAGCTGCATACAGTGTTCTCCTTAGCTACTGAAATGGAATTACTCGAGAGGGTCGTAAACAGTAAGCGCCCACCCGGAATGTGCATGCCATCCATACAAGGTGGGTGGATTATTGATTTCCAATTAGGAAATAAAATTTCAAAGTTGAGGTCCCTTTTAGAAATGGCAGTCTGATAACCAGTGATTTTTGCCAATTTTCAGTTACATACACTATGGAGTGAGCAATGTGAAATAGGGTTTTTAAACACCCCCGAGTGTCTCTTTACTTTCTTTCATTTTAGATTGTTTTACTTGGCAATTAAATTAGCTCAAGTTGGCATAAAGCAAACCATAGAGAGCAGACTCTTGTGCTCTCTGACTGCTTTGAAAATACATTGACCAAAAGTAAACCCAAAGTGGTGTGGCACAGCAACCCCCCTCTACCAGTGTTAACACTTGCACAGCATCACAGGAGTTGTAGTTATGCACAGTTGGGAATCTACCTTTTGGCCCTTGTAGCTATAGAGTTTTCTCACACCAACTCAAACTGCTCATGCCTACGGCTGTCAGGGTTCAAACTGAACTTCAAAGTCTAAGCTTTAGTTGATATTCCCAGGGCCTTGATTCCACGTCTAGTTAAAGTTCATTTCCTGCAGTCGGCAGCACATCGCACCTTAGTTCACCTCTCCCACTCTGTTACCCAGCGATGGTCACGTGGTTTGCAAGCACAACTTGTTATGTATGTTTTAGGAAAATCTATTCTTATCTGTAGGGCAGAGTTCATTCTTCTACTAGCAGTTTTGTAAACTGATCCCTGTAACTCTTGAGACTTCATAGTCTATTATTTCTTTTTCTTTTTTATTTGTAAGGCAACTTCTAAATATTTCTAAGGCTACATGGGGACACCTGATTATGATGGGCATCAGGGGTCATTCTCCCTTGTTTATTTAATTGGCAATGCCATCATTTTTTAGATCACTACCGGCCCTGGTGACCATTAAAGGCTTTCGCTGGTCCACAGCAGAGAGCAATTAGGGGGTAAATGCCCCTTCTTCCTTTGGTTTTAATGGTATCTGCATGTGACCGTAAATAGCTTGGGATTACATCATTGACCTTTTTTTTTAATGGAATAATTTCACAAGGGCAGCAACAGGGTCTGAGCCTGTAACACATCTAACAAAGTTCCAAAGACATTTGTAAGGAGAAAGGAGAGCCGAGTTGCACGAAGAAGGTGTGAAACATAGTCCCTTTATTTCTTCGTTTAAAATTTGTGATTGGGTCTCAGCATCAGAGACAAGCCACTTAAACAATACGTGTACTTCATCGGAGACATCATCAGAGACATCGTCCGAGTCTCTGAACAATGGCTACCCTGCCACAAATATGATTTATATACTGTAGGAAAAAATAAATCAATAGTGTAATTAAGAAGGGATGCCCAATGAACTTTGATGCTTAATTAATGGTTGACCTCTGGTATCAAGCTAATGTCACATTCTGCTGTGCCATAGGATTTGCTGTGAGTAAGATGCTGTTCTATGGGTTCAGAAAACTATTGTGGGTCCAGTAACACTAAGTTTGTGTAGGGAAGTTGTGTTACCTTTGATACTAGGTGGTCAGAACTCTCTTAAAGGATTGCTTCAAGTACAATGACCACTTCAGTGATTTGAAGTGGTTATGGTGCCTGGAGTCTGTATGTGCAATGTTTCATTTTAAAAAGCTGCACATACGAAGATTTACCCTTCGGCTCAGTTTCACTGGGGTGTCATCAATCAAGTTCTGACTTGTCTAATGTCAACACTTTGCTCATTTAATTTTTTTCACTGAACTGCATTAACTGGCTGAGAGTGGTCAGCTGACACCCTCAACCCATGAATGGTGACTGCGTTGGCTTGCAGTTTTTGCAGTTCTGCAGAAGCCGTAAGCACGTCTCTTGTCAGCAGTGTGTATGTATGTGTATGTGTGTATGTATATGTGTGTGTGTGTGTATATATATATATATATATATATATATATATATATATATATATATATATTTACACAGCGTGTGTGTTTCTGCTTTAGGATGCACACCCTTATACAATAGGCTGCGCACGCCTATGTATATAATTGTTTAATTACATTATACAGCTAGGGCAGGACATGTAAATTAATACTAGTTGTATGCCTGACAGGCATATTAAAACATAGTCTTTAAGTAGGACTGCTATCAGACATTTTGGGGCCACTGACAAAGCTCTATGTCTAGGCCCCTGGGTCCATCCCTGAGTTTGCCCATGGGACCAGCCCCTGAATCTGCCCACAAGGATGCAGTGTGTGTAGTGTATGCAGTGTGTGTTAAAGGACCACTATAGTGCCAGGAAAACATACTCGTTTTCCTGGCACTATAGGGCCCTGAGGGTGCCCCCACCCTCAGGGACCCCCTCCCGCCCGGCTCTGGGGAGAGGAAAGGGGTTAAAACTTACCTTTCTCCTGCGCCGGGCGGGGAGCTCTCCTCCTCCGATCCTCCTCCTCTCCTCCCATTCGGCTGAATACGCACGCGCGGCAGGAGCTGCGCGCCCATTCAGCCGGTCTCATAGGAAAGCATTTACATGTCCCCATACACCAAACACACTCTGAACGTGTGGCGTAGAGCCTCGAGGAAGAATGGTCTAGCACCCTACCCCTCCCCTCTAATACCACTGACACACAACATCGACTTCACGCCAGGTCTAGACCCAAAGGCATTTCAGGGAATTCTCCCGGCCCCGATCCCGAGACTGCACCACATAATCACCAACGGCAAATGTAAACCACTGACGGACATGCTTGGAGAAACCATACCTACATTTCTACACAGATTTAAACACACAACTCGCCACCTTCGTGCATTCCCTATTATTTGAAACACTATGCAACAGCCCAGATCCACTACCGCATGGAATCTCCTTCCTATACATAATGTTACAGACGGAGACCCCCATTGACAAACCCCTCTTTATGGGAAAATGGGAAACAGCACTGAATAGGACGTTCGCTGACGCGGAGTGGGAGCAAGTATGCTACCTCACCCACCACTGCTCGGTATACAGTAGGACCCAAGAGAAAGCTTTTAAAATCCTGACAAACTGGTATCGCACTCCACACTTCCTTCACAACATCGATCCAGAGCAAACCAACCTGTGCTGGAGGTGCGAAAGGGAGGTGGGAACTGCGATACACATCTGGTGGGAATGCGAGGTAATCAGACCATACTGGGAGGGAATACACAGAATACTGGAAATGTTCTCGGATGCGCCGCCCCCCCTGGAACCGGCAGCTATGCTCCTCCACCACACGACAGTACCTAGATCTAAATACAAGAAATCCATGACAATTAGGATACTGAATGTAGCCAATCAGATACTCCCCCCAATATTGGAAGCAAAAAAATAGCACCCCCGCTAGGGGCATGGTTCACTCAAATGGAAGAACTCAGGGCAATAGAAGACCATGACAGCCACAGCCACGCCCACGACTTATGCGGAGACTTGGACACAGTAGCTACTCGAGACCGCTAAATACGCTTTTACACTGAGGAGTAAGGGCAACAACACCACAGAATGCCACCCCTCCCTAAAAGACAGAGACCGACATGGACTTAGCGGCCCACCTATCGGACCACCTTAACACTCCAATGCGAAACAAGAGACAGGCACCGCAAACCTGCAAAACAATACACACCACCTAAATCTCTTGAACAAACCAAATGCGGCAGGTATCTGGATACACCTTAAACCACCTACTAAAGTGGACATGCATTGAAGCTTAATAAGACATGAACAGTTGAACACACACAAGCAGAAATCCGACACGCAGACTAGCAATCCATCACAACACATACGGCAGTAGATATAGAGTAGAACACTAACATGACAACGAGACACCAATACAAACCTAAACACAACACGAGACACATGCCCTAATAACTGCTTATAAAATGTAAGGGACCTGCGTGTCCGACAACATTGCGGGCCTGCGAGCTCAACAATGCATATGGCTAACTGAACCCAACAAAACTACATATTGAATATATACGGAGACCTGCGAGTCTCACTATTACCTACCACGTTAAAGAACAAAGCACTGTGGGCCTGCGAGCCCAACAATGTGTATGACTAACTGAACCTAACAATACTACGTACTGGATTAATACTGGGTCTCACTATCCCCTAATACGTTAAAAAAACTAATACAAATTATATTTACAAAGAAAATAAAAATAAAGGGGCCTAGTCCCAGCAGGGCCACCATCAGGGGGTGACAACCATGACAGTTGTCATGGGCCTGGCGGTCCTGGGGGGGCCTGACTGCTTAGGCAGTCCTGGGCCCCACATTCCCTCTCTGCACATGTATATATATATATATATATATATATAGCGATGATCGCTATATATATGTGCAGCCGTGGGCCCCCGGCTCCCTATACTTGCAGAGGGGGCCCAGCAGGCTGCAGGAGCACATTACAGGTCTTCCCTCTCTCAAACTCCCACGAGACCTGCGGCCGTCAGAGCGTTGCCACGGGTTACCATGGCAACGCTCCGCGCGGCACGCAGACCACGCTCGCGGGAGTTAGAGCGAGGGAAATGCTGTAATGTGCTCCTGCAGTCTACTGGGCCCCCTCTGCAAGTATAGGGAGCTGGGGGGGCCCCACAGTGCCACCGGACCACCAGGGATGGAATCTCCCCCCTCCCTGAATCAGGTAAGAAGCAGGGAGGGGGAGAAACATTTATTATATTTACATTACATGCATACACTAGTAAACACACACACACACACTCTCTGCATTCACTACACTAACACACACTCTGCATGCACTACACTGACACACACACTGCATTCATTACACTGACACACACACTGCATTCATTACACTGACACACACTCTGCATTCATTACACTGACACACACTCTGCATCCACTACACTGACACACACTCTACATTCACTACACTGACACAGACTCTGTATTCACTACACTCATAGGCGTGCGCAGCCTATTGCATTAGGGTGTGCACCCTAAAGCACAAACACCCGCCGTGTGTGTGTATCTATCTATCTATCTATCTATATATATATAGATATATATATATAGATAGATACATACATACAGACACACAAATACATACACTGCTGTGTGTGCTGTTAGTGTAATGTGTGTGTGAGGGTGCTGTTAGTGTGATGTGAGGGTATTTGTGTGTGTTTGTGACTGTGCTGTTGTGTGTGTGAGTGTCGTGTATTTGTGAGGGTGCTGTTTGTGTGTGTGTTTGTGAGGGTGCTGTTAGTGTGCTGTGTGTGAGGGTGTTGTGTTTTTTTTAAAGGTGCTGTGTGTGTTTGTGAGGGTGCGGTTAGTGTACTGTGTGTGTGTGAGCTGTATGTGTGTAGGTGCTGTATGTATGTGTGCTGTATGTTTGGAGGGATTTGGCAGATTAGTAAATCCTTGCTGCCATGTGCCATCCCTGGTGGTCCAGTGGAGAGTGAACTTTAGCCTGCGGGGCTAGAGTTAACTCTCGCGAGATCTGAGCGTTGCCGCAGCAACGCTCAGATATCGCGAGAGGAACCTGGCGGAGCTTCTGTCTAGAGCTCCCTGGGTCCTCTCCTGCCTCCCTCCATGCTGCTGTGGACCGGTGAGGTAGATCTTTGGTCTCCCGCCGGCCCATGGAGGCTTAGAGCAGAGCCGGCACTCAGATAGCGCCGGCTCTGTGTGTGTGTGTGTATATATATATTTATATATATATGCGTACACACACACACTCACAGACACACACACACATACATACACTCACAGACACAGACACACACTCACACACACACATACACAGACAGACACACACTCACAGACACGCATTCACAGACACGCACACACAGACACTCACACATTCACCGACACACTCACACACACACACATTCACAGACACACACACACACACTCACACACACACACACACAGACACACACCTCACAGACACACAGACAGACACACACCTCACACACTCACACACAGACACACTCACACACACACACACACCACACACTCACACACAGACACACACTCACACACAGACACACACCCCACAGACACACAAACACACACACCTCACAGACACACACACACACACACACACACTCAGACACACACACACAAACACACACACACACACACACTCACAGACACACACACACAAACACACAGATACACACTCACAGACACACACACACGAGAACAAATTATTATATTTTAATAAAAAACAATGTCCACCCAGCCTCCTACCTGGAGTGCTGGCGGGGACTTTTCCCTGGGGTCCAGTGGGGCGGGCGCCTCTCTCCAGCTGAGCCGCAGCGAGGGAGCTCTCTGCTGTCTGCTCTCTGCTCCCTCTCGCCACGCGGGCTGTCTGCTGGAGCTGGGAGCTGGAATATGACGTCATATTCCGGCTCCCGGCATCAGCGCGCGGCGAGAGGGAGCAGAGAGCAGAGAGCTCCCTCGCCGCGGCTCAGCTGGAGAGGGGGTGAGGGGAATCCATCACCTCTTGCCCCCCCATGACAGGGGCAAGAGGTGAGTGGGGCGCTGAGTGCCTGCAGGAACAGCGTTCCTGCTCAAAAAAAAGTGCAGGAACGCTGTTCCTGCAGGACTCAAACCATAGGCGTGCCACGGGGATTAGGGTGTGCCCAGGCACACCCGGCACACCCCGTGCACACGCCTATGACTACACTGACCATTACACTACCAGACCTTGTGCTTTGTCAGGGGCCCCAAAATTTCTGGTGGTGGCCCTGAGTCCCAGTTTTAGAGATCAACAGCACTGACCACGTCCCTTTAGACGTATGTTCATCTGGTGGCCCGAAGTGCATCAACCACCTGATAGGGCTCCTCGGCGTGCCAGCCCCAGTGCAACCACACCGGCTGCACTAGCAGTAGTTCCACCATTGCCGGGGCAAATATATATGTAGCGATAATCCTTATATATGTGTGTGCACATTGGGAATTTGAGCCCGGTTGCCACATTACACTGACACACACTCTGCATTCACTACACTAACACACACTCTGCATTTATTACACTGACCACTACACTACCAGACCTTGCTTTGTCAGGGGCCCCAAAATTTCTGGTCGCGGCCCTGAGTCCCAGTATGAGAGATCGTCAGCAATGACCAGGTCCCTTTAGACGTATGTCCAGCTGGTGGCCCGAAGTGCATGGACCACCTGATAGGGCCCTTTGGCGTGCCAGAGGGAATGTGGTCCCGGTTGCTCGGGCCCCCCAGGACCACCAGGCCCATGACAACCATCATGGTGGTCACCCACGTATGGTAGCCTTGTCTTTAAGGTACACTATGCCAACAATTCCATTGAAGTGGCATGCCTCTAATCTGTTTTTAGGTCATTGTTCTGCCATCTTGCATTATGTCCATTGGAAAGAGCTACCGCAGTGGGCATTGCCAACCCTGGCATGCTAGCCAACCTGGATGCCAGTCAATATATATCCATACGTTCCAGATTGGCATGATCATAAACAAGCAACTGCCTTCACAGACATGCCTTCTGTCCTGGTAAAATAATTTCTAATGTTCGGAATATGGAATGCCTTCCATGGTACAACTCTAAGCTCGGAATGTACGCCTTGTAATGAAATCCAGATTTCCGCCTCAGGCAATAATATAATGTGCTTGCAAAGGGTTAAAGCAGTGCATGTGAGAAGCGCTCTGAGATTTAGGTTTCAGTTGTGTTGGAATTCAAAATGGGTAAAAATAGTCTGTTTATTGTGGAGGTCTCCGTTTCAAGAATGGGCAAATTTAGCAAAGACGGAGAAAATGATAGAGTAAAGAAATTGCTATACACTAAATCTTGCAGCTCTGAACCCTGCAGGCCTCCACAGTCTAATCACAATACAGATTAAGGAACAGCGGACACATAAAAATATGACGCACAGGAACAGAGGGATTGAGGGCCCTGCTCAATGAGTTTACATGCTAGGCGGAGTGGGGTAAAGTGGGGACACAAAAGGTAAGGGTAGGGTAGAAAGGTAGGTTGCTAGGATAGTGTTCATTGAGGGCTTAGTGTTTTGTTTTGATGACCATTTCAGGAGAGGAATCAGAGTGCGGGGAGGGAAAGTTGTTCACAGTTTAATAGATATGCTTTCCTAAAGAAGTAGGTTTTCAAAGATTTTTTGAAGGAGTGGAGATTGGGTGAGAGCCTAACAGAAAGGGAAAGGGCATTCCATAGGGCGTTTAAGGTGAGCATCATAGGTAGGAGAACAGACAGAGGTTAGATGTAGGTCTCCAGCAGAGCATAGGGGCCTAGATGGGACATATTTGTGTATTAGTGAGGATAAGTAGGTGGGATCAGCATTGTGTGGAGATTTGTAAGCAAGTGTCAGGATCTTAAAGCCCTATATCTTACGGGAAGCCAATGGAAGGACTGACAAAGTGGGTGACGTGGGAGGTGCGGGGGGACAGGAAGATGAGCCTCGCCGCCGCATTCCCACTTGTGCTGCCAAAACCGCTCTGATGCAACACTAAAATATGCAATCTCTCCCTGTCCTCTGGCATTTTTCCTTCACCCTTCAAGCATGAACAATCAACCCGATTCCGTAAAAAAAAAAGCCCAAACTTGACCCTATCTCACTACTACCGTTTGCCTCCTCTTTTGCCCGGGACACACACTGTATTTTGGCAGAGTAGGCACCTGCCGTCCAGGTAAGCAGATGCCTACTCTGCCTTGGTTAATGGGTACCGGCATCAGGGGCACCCAGTGACATCAATCGGCCCGCTCCCATCGGTGTTCGCTATCTCTTGGCGCTTGGGCGCTGTGCACCACGTACACCAGCCCAGGATTGGCCGTGCCTCTGACACAGTCATCTAGCCATCATTTTTATGACTTTCGTCATAGTCCACAGGAAAGCATACATTGAGGAGAGTCTCTGGAAGCAGTTTAAGTTGTAAGTATTGCAAGTTAGCATGAAATCTCTCATGGTAAAATGTGTGTAAGACCCACTGATATCGGGGTACCGTGACACAGTGGTGGGCTTAACACAATATGGTGTAACTGAATCTCCATATTTGTTTGCTGAGATAGGTGATTGTAAGTCACCTTGTAAAATGTATTTTGATTTTGTGTGTGTGCTGTTTCTTTAAAGGACCACTATAGTGCCAGGAAAATATACTCGCCCTCAGGGACCCCCTCCCGCCAGGCTGGATGGCGAGGAAAGGGGTTAAACTTACCTTTATTCCAGCGCTGGGTGCCCCTTATTTCTTTTTCTCACCCCTCTCACGCGGCAGGAGCAGCGCGCGCATTCAGCCTGTCTCATAGGAAAGCAATCATAATGCTTTCCTATGGACGCTGGTGTCTTCTCACTGTGATTTTCACAGTGAGAAGCACGCAAACGCCTCTAGCGGCTGTCAATGAGACAGCCAATAGAGGCTTTGGAGGCTGGATTAGCCCTATTATAAATATAGCAGTTTCTCTGAAACTGCTATGTTTATAAAAAAAAAAGGGTTAATCCTAGAGGGACCTGGCACCCAGACCACTTCATTAAGCCTAGAGTGGTCTGGGTGCCTAGAGTGGTCCTTTAACTGTATTTTGGTCTTTACGGCAGCACCACTACTTGGAAATGTGCCCCCAGTTCCCATTTCTCCTTGTCAAAGTCACGCAGATATTTTCGCTTGCCCGTTTTTCCTTCTTCCAAAACATAAAATACAATAACAACTGTATTTTGGTCTTTACGGCAGCACCACTACTTGGAAATGTGCCCCCAGTTCCCATTTCTCCTTGTCAAAGTCACGCAGATATTTTCGCTTGCCCGTTTTTCCTTCTTCCAAAACATAAAATACAATAACAGACTGTTTACTTGCTGACTAATATATCCCGATTCCCACCCCTTGACAGAAACCATTGTAAAGATATAAGAATCACAGAATTTACTAGTCTCCTCCTTGTACTTAACAATATACCCTTTAACGTTCTGTAGACGGAACTCTGCAGGTCTCAAAAGATGTCTCACCACAGAACCTCGAAGTTACTGAGCTCATTTTAGCAAATAGTAGATTTGACTGTGCTGAACAATTTATAGAACAGAATATCTTAGAAATCTTGTTTTACAACATGGAACAAACAAACCCGTGGTCAGCAGGATTCTGGGATAGGAATAAATTAAAAAAACAAAAAAACATTGGGACTGTCCCTGAAACTCTAGACAAGTGGCAGATATGATTGCATTTATGTCCTAATGAAACTGCTGGTCCAGATAATTGCTTGTAATATTATCTCCAGGGGCTACCTATGGTTTAATCACTAAACCACACAGATGTATTTTATTGCACAACTCAAGGAACGGCTGGATTAAAACTACACATGTGCAGAGCAAAGACAATCACGCCTTTATTGTAAATAGGATTGCTGTGAATTTGCGTGTCCTTATACGTTTTGTCACAAGTGCAACTAGGAAGTAGACCGCAGATAATTAAATGCCCGACCTCAAGTTGTGAACAAACTACAACTGCTATAAGAATGTCTCTAGTTAAAAATACATCATGTGTGCACAAAGAATCGTGGGAGTTGTAGTTAACCTGGAAGTACAATATTTAACAACACTTGTCATCTAGACTATGTTGCATGGAGGCTCTTTTTTTTTAGTTTCAAGACATTATGGGTCTGGTCTTTAATTAAGAAACCTTTCTTAGATTTTCTTGACAATTTAAAGCAATGGTGCCCATTTTTGTAGTGCCCAGCTGTAGCTATAAACTACATTTCCTAGAATTCAACACCAGTCAGCAGTAGCCCAACAACATCTGCAGAATCCAAATATAAATACCCACAAATTAACAGGGCATACAAGACAAATGCCCTGTACCATTGCATGAAGTTACCTTTATTTTTTGGTGTTGCCAGGATACAGTCCCCAAGTCTCACCAAACTTTTCAGAACTGGTAATCCTTGTTTGGGTCTCTCGGTGGAATTCCAAAAAAAGTGTCTGTTGGTTTTAAGGGAGGTAACCAATAGCGAAAACTCGGGACGAACTTGTGTTTCCTTTTATTAATTTTCAGTTGTGTCCAGTAAAGTGTGTAGAAAGTGATTACTTGTGTAACAAACAGGGAGGCGGGTAGTCATGTACAAGACAAAACCAAAAGTTCCACCAAGCATGCTCGGAGAATGAAGTCTAACCTGCCTGTCTTGTCCGGTACAGAACACACTGTCTGTTTTGATGCTGATTTGTACACCTTCCACCCCCGACCCCCTCCTACACCTACACGCCCATTACACATATAATAAATACTGCAGCCAGCTGGTTTATCATTAATGTTCTAAAGCAAGCATGTCAAACTTAAAGGCTAACTCGGGCCAAATATACAAGGCTTAAGATTATGTGGGCCGCACAAAAAGAAAAAAAGAGTTCGACGTAGACCAACACAAACTTAAATTACTTGTATCATTCTCATGCAAACAATATGTAATCCTGGGTACATATATATAATTCACTCAAAAGCTTCACTTCAAGTTACTCAACTTACTATCTCAGTAGTAATGCCACTGTGTGAAGTGTCCGCTCCACTCGCTCCCTCTACAAAATGCAGTCTCAGCCAGGTAGGTAGCCACACTGTCCACTCAGCTCGCTCCCTAGTCCCTCTGTAATCTCCAGGCAGAGTAATGTGTGGCTGCACACTCCACTCCATTCGCTTCTTCCCCCCTTCCATCCATGTCTCTGTTCCCCTCCATGTCTCCCTCCCTTCCATATCTCTCCCCCTTCCATATCTCTCCCCCACATCTCTCCCTCCCTTCCATATCTCTCCCCACATCTCTCCCCCTTCCATATCTCTCCCCCACATCTCTCCCTCCCTTCCATTTCTCTCCCCCACATCTCTCCCTCCTTTCCATATCTCTCCCCAACCCATATCTCTCCCCCACATCTCTCCCTCCTTTCCATATCTCTCCCCTCCCTTCCATATCTCTCCCCCATCTCTCTCCTTCCATATCTCTCCCCATCTCTTCCTCCTTCCATATCTCTCCCACATCTCTCCCATTCTATATCTCTCCTCCTTCCATATCTCTCCCCCACATCTCTCCCTCCCTTCCATATCTCTCCCCCACATCTCTCTTTCCCTTCCATACACTGCCCCCACTGTACCCCCATACAACACTTTTACCCCATACACACTGCACCCCACACACACTGCCCCACTGCACCCATATACACACACTGCACCCCCATACACACAGTGCTCCCCTACACAAACACTGCACCCCCAATATACACACTTCCGCAACTGCACTCCCGAACACACACTGCCCCCACTACACCCTCATACACACACTGGCTCCATACACATAGTGCTCCCACTGCACCCCTTATATACACACTGCACTCCCATGCACACTCTACACCCCTCACACAAATACACAGTTCTCCCTCTGCACCCCTCGCACACGCACTGCCTCCCGTACCCATCCTGCATCCCTCACACACTCACTGCGTCCCAAAAACACATATTGCCCCCCCCACACACACACACACACATTACTAGAGGCCCTATCCCCTACTACAGCCCCTATCCTGGCAGACCCCAGGTAAATTTTCAAACTGTTCTTAAACGGTTTGGCTATTTACTCTGAGAGGACGTCACGGCATCCTGGCACCATAACCACTATAGAGAGCTGAGTGGTTATTGTGCCTGGATTGTTTCAAATAATCTATGAGTGCCCCTCCTGAGATAAGGCTCTGGATCCGTCACTGCACTGATTCAGACAGTATGCACACACTTTACTACACTTTGACAATGACACACTACTACACACACTGATTCAGACAGTAAGCACACACAGTTATACACACACTCACTCACAATATACACACATTCACAGTATGCACAAAATGTTATACATACACTTAATGACACAGTATGATTCAGAAAGTATGCATACACTGTCTCTCACACACACACATTCACAGTATGCACACAATGTTATACATACACTTAGACAATGACACACTGCTACACAGACAGAAACCTACACACATTGTAAGTAGTGTATTAGGGAATTTTCCAATTTCAAATGTTTTTTTCCCTCTCTTATGTCACTCCCTGAGATATTATGTAACATTGGGTAATGATGTGTGCTCTGCAAATTAGCATGGCAGGTACTCCTCCCACCCCACCCCTCCAATCCTAGGGATAGGTGGTGAATGTATGACCTTTTTACGTTAGAAATAGAGGCTTGAATGCATGGCCAGGCCCACCAGTTCAGGTGGTAATGAATAATGCACGTTATTTACCTGGAAAATTTAGATGGTGCAGTTGTTTTGGTATTATAATCAGGGATACTGTGACCTCTGCAGCCCAATGACCCTTGTTGTTGTCTGGGAAACTTTGTATCCCCTGGTATGTGCTCAGCATGAGAGCGAGGAAAAAAGAGAAGTGACATCACAGACGCAGTTCTCCTGAGCTGAGCATTCTCCAACCGATGTTATCAGAGCTCTATTTTTCAACTACCTTAATCACTGCTGCGGGTCACATATCGAATGACAGAGACCGCAGTATTCATCTACTACCATATATACTGCTGCGGGTCACACATAGTATGACAGAGACCGCAGTATTCATCTACTACCATATATACTGCTGCGGGTCACACATAGTATGACAGAGACCACAGTATTCATCTACTACCATATATACTGCTGCGGGTCAACATAGTAGTATGACAGAGACCGCAGTATTCATCTACTACCATATATACTGCTGCGGGTCACACATAGTATGACAGAGACCGCAGTATTCATCTACTACCATATATACTGCTGCGGGTCACACATAGTATGACAGAGACCACAGTATTCATCTACTACCATATATACTGCTGCGGGTCACATATCGAATGACAGAGACCGCAGTATTCATCTACTACATATATACTGCTGCGGGTCACACATAGTATGACAGAGACCGCAGTATTCATCTACTACCATATATACTGCTGCGGGTCACACATAGTATGACAGAGACCGCACAGTATTATTCATCTACTACCATATATACTGCTGCGGGTCACACATAGTATGACAGAGACCGCAGTATTCATCTACTACCATATATACTGCTGCGGGTCACACATAGTATGACAGAGACCACAGTATTCATCTACTACCATATATACTGCTGCGGGTCACACATAGTAGTATGACAGAGACCGCAGTATTCATCTACTACCATATATACTGCTGCGGTCACACATAGTATGACAGAGACCACAGTATTCATCTACTACCATATATACTTCTGCGGGTCACACATAGTATGACAGAGACCACAGTATTCATCTACTACCATATATACTGCTGCGGGTCACATATCGAATGACAGAGACCGCAGTATTCATCTACTAGCATATATACTGCTGCGGGTCACATATCGAATGACAGAGACCGCAGTATTCATCTACTACCATATATACTGCTGCGGGTCACACATAGTATGACAGAGACCACAGTATTCATCTACTACCATATATACTGCTGCGGGTCACATATCGAATGACAGAGACCGCAGTATTCATCTACTAGCATATATACTGCTGCGGGTCACATATCGAATGACAGAGACCGCAGTATTCATCTACTACCATATATACTGCTGCGGGTCACATATCGAATGACAGAGACCGCAGTATTCATCTACTACCATATATACTGCTGCGGGTCACACATAGTATGACAGAGACCACAGTATTCATCTACTACCATATATACTGCTGCGGGTCACATATCGAATGACAGAGACCGCAGTATTCATCTACTAGCATATATACTGCTGCGGGTCACATATCGAATGACAGAGACCGCAGTATTCATCTACTACCATATATACTGCTGCGGGTCACATATCGAATGACAGAGACCGCAGTATTCATCTACTACCATATATACTGCTGCGGGTCACACATAGTATGACAGAGACCACAGTATTCATCTACTACCATATATACTGCTGTGGGTCACACATAGTATGACAGAGACCGCAGTATTCATTTACTACCATATATACTGCTGCGGGTCACATATCGAATGACAGAGACCGCAGTATTCATCTACTAGCATATATACTGCTGCGGGTCACACATAGTATGACAGAGACCACAGCTTGTCCATGCTCTAGCAATTTCCTGCATGGATTTTTTTTTTTTTAATTCTTTATTTTTGGTTCGACACATATTACGGCATTGCAGTATACAGTGGCTCGCGCAGGGGCCGATAGTGATTAAGGTTTACATTGCATAATACAGAAGGTTCCTGCATGGATTATTGTAACCCTCTCCTAATTGGTCTTCCTAAAAGCCGTATTGCCCCGCTACAGTCTGTAATGAATGCTGCCACCAGACTGATTTCCTCTCTAGTCTTTCTTCTCACACCTCACCCTTATGTCAGTCCTTACATTGGCTTCCCGTACCTATAGGAGTCAATTCTAAGTGCTAACCCATACCTATAAAGCACTGAACAATTCTAGCCCATCTTAGGTATGCCTCTTCTCTGTCTCTCTGCTCTGCCCGTGACCTTCTCCTGTCCGCTGCTCGCACTTGTACGGCCAACTCACGCTTGCAGGACTTCTCGCAGGGCGGCTCCCTTCCTATCTAATAGCCTGCCTACCGCCATCACACTCTCCCCTAGTGTTCAATCGTTTAAGAAGTGTCTTAAAACCCATCTCTTTAGGAAAGCTTATGGCCTTCCAGCGTAACCTCTACCTCACATACCTGTCTCTTGCTCTCTCCTAAAGGGCAGCACTTTACTCTCTCCTCCAGCTCTCCTCCAGCTATTGGAAAGTGCTATGGAATCTGTTGGCGCTATATAAATGGCAATGATAATAACAGATGAGGCCGAATTGAAACCTCTCCGAACTCCATCTACCCAACCTCTGCAAGTCCCTACAAACACGAAGCAAGGCTCTATGTTGAGGGTAAAACTGGTCTGCTTTAATGGTAGCCGCACTGGCATTTTATGCAAGTCCCTAAGCAAGGGGTATGCCCACATGGCCCTTGTTTGGTACTGGGACACAAACTTACAAACCGATAAAAAGAGTTACAATATCAGGCACTCCCACATATGGCATACAATCCCTCCCCTCTGCGTGAAGAGATAATTGAGTCAGATACTGTATTAACCCAATTATCTCCAGGAAAAAAAAAACATATTTTACAAAACCCCAAAAGTACCCCAAAACACATGAAATTCCCACAAATGTTATATCCCCTGATAGCCCGATATGGGAGAGCAACATATATAAAAATCACCCAGATCGGTTCAGGGGTTCGAAAGTTCCATGGAAGTCTTATTTCTGACCGACCGCACACAAGGTTCCTGCCCAGAATAGTTCCATAG